TTAATTTTCGAAACTTTATCCAAATCTATAAATAGTTGGTCAAGAGAAATGCTAGATACACATAAACCATTACAGAACGTCCATTCCCTCCACCATGGTAACAGTTTATTTTTTCTGAAACATTTTACCATAAAATTATAATTTGTATTTTTATATATTTTTATTTAAAGTATGACGTGTATTTTAAATATTATAAAAATATTACAATAGAAGAACAAATAATTACATCGGATTTAACAAATGCCATTGCAACTTATATTCAGCATGTTTTTTGCATTTGCTGTCACCGAGAATACAAGCCCATCTTAGAGCTTCTTGTCTTAAACATTTAATAAACATGTCATCATTAGATTCCTCCTCGTATCCAATCTTTTGAAGAAGTGGACCCAGTTGCATTCGTAGTTTCTTCTAAATATTATGAAATAAAATAAAGATAACATTAATTTGACATTAATTCAAAAAATTTTAAACTGAATTTCTTGTAGAAATGTAGAAAAGGAAGAATTTAGATAATTATTAAAAGTATATTAATATTAATATTTGGAACATAACAACATGAATTGTTAGAATTTTCTTTACTGAAATCGCTTTTACCTTGAATATTATATTATCGGCATTATAAAACGGTAGAATGTGTGACATGTACTCAGCAGCTTTGAACATAGGATACCATGGTATATAGTCCGTTTCCCATTTTAGATAGCTTACGACATCCCAAAATACATAAAAATTTAATTTGCCTGATATGGCTAAATGGAATGTATCATCGATGATTTGAGCACGATTTAAAACATTAATATTTGCATAATTCTTGGAATTAAGATAATTTATAATTCCTAACCAACTTTCAAAATCATAATGTACCCGGTAATATCCTGTCATGCGAAATAAATAATTACGATTTGTCATTAAATTATATTAAATTATAATATAATTGATATTAATTACAGATAGAATATTATTAAATGTTATTTTTACTTTTAAATATGACCAAAAATACAAATTAAAATATTAATTAATAATTTAGCTCGTATTATAAATAATAAAAAAATTCATATTTACAAACTAATGTAATATTGAATTTTATGTTACTTATGTTATTATGTTTATAGATCATTAAGTTGACCTCTTCTTACAACAATATATTATGTATATGCAATAAATTATGTATAATAAACGATATAATAAATACGAAACTTTTGCTTATAAATATTGCATATCAGAAGAGAATAATATCAAAGTATTTCATCAAATATATAAATATGATTATTAAATTAATGTAATTTGTTTAAGAAAAAAATGATTGTAGATGGATTAAAATCACTAAAAGGAGCATAGACAATTCTAAATTATTTTAGCTATACAATCTTAAAGTCAAATATATCCTATTTAAGAACTTTGTTACAAAAATAAGTCAATAATATTTTCTTTTTTATAGTTAACAAGTTTTCAGAATAAATAAATTAATGATATTTTACATTTAAATATTTGATCGTCATTTACCTGTTTGTTGCCGATTGATTATTATGAACCGACTGTGTTCAGAATTGTAACACGTTGTAAGAAAGTGCTTTTGTTCCCATAGACAAAATGTGGGTAAAATTCGTTTCAAATTTATGTACACTTGATGTGTTAATGGTACCGTCCAGTTTTCGGAAGCAGTTTGTAGAAAAATTTTCGTCCATTCGGAACCAAAGATTTCCGCTACACTAAGAATAGGATATTGCTTTTCTTGTATCCAAGGATTCATCAGATCTTTCACATTGATTTTCTCCAAAT